GATCACAGGCCCCGTGCGGGGGCTCCGGTTGGGAAAACGGCGCGATCCTGCTCGGCTTCTCCCTTGCAGCTGGGGTGAAGTAATCCCGCTTCCCAGATAAGATGGTGGCTCTGGTAGATTGTACTGCACGCCCGTCCCCTCCCGCCCCGCCGCGCAGCCCCCCGTGCTGAGGAGCCCCTGGCCGTGGCCAGCCCAGTGCTTCCCTGCCACCCTGCCTGCCTCCCCTCCGAATTCGTGCCCCTTGTCGGAGGAGGAGGCGGCTCCGTGCTGCTGGATGTGGGGGTGTGCTCGCTCCGAAGCACACCCAGGAATAACGGTTCATTTAACAGCTCTGAATTTTTTTGCCTTTTTCTTTTTTTTTTTTTTAAGCTCGGTTTGGGTAGGGGGATCCCACACTGCAGCATGGGGGCCCCTGTGCTCAGCGCGTCCCGCTCACCCCATGGGCAGGGACCGTGTTGGTGATTACCTAGAGTCAGGCTAGAAAAGTCCTTTTGAGTCATCTGACCTTTCTACTTGGCTTGCAGGAAAGGTGAAGGTACTTCACACTTACGCACTCGTGTCTTTTTTGGATTTTTGTTATATAAGAATACCTGTGTGGGCGTTAGGAGCTGCCCCTCCTGCTTCCTGGGGTGCTCCGGGGCGTTGGAGCTGCTCGGGGCAGAGACGGGTGCGCGTTTGCAAAGTGTCACAAATATTTAGTGGTAGTAGTGGATTCCCATCGTACTCGGGAACTGAATTAGGAACGGGGCTGGGAGGGGGGAATCCAGTCCCAAACATCAGGATTAACAAGCTGGAGCTCTCTAATAATAATCAGACTTAGCACTTCCAACTTCAAAGGGCTGTGCGGACGCTAAGTCCCTAATCCCGGGAGCGCTGCGTTCACGAGTTGTTTTTGTGCGTGGCTGTGCTGCCGGCCGGGGGTCGGTGTGACTTGGGGCAGCTATGTGTGGTCCCACCACCCCTTGGAGCCTTAGCCACCCCCTCCAGGGCTACAGGCAGGAGGTGACGTGCCCTTGACACCCCCCCTGCCCCCCGCCAACCTGTGTTTGACCTTCTGGGGTGCCCGCATGGCATGGGAAAAACCGGGTCAGTCACCACATCTGCTCCCCCTTTGGGAAAATCTGTTGCTGTGGGTCTGCCCTGATGAACATGAGCCCCGGCGTGGGCGCTCAGAGCCCTTGCGATCCTGTGTGATGGCAGGATCTGGCCTGTGGTCCCTGGCAGACACAGTGCTGTTGATGGCTCTGTCCTGGCTGCTCCACCCACCCGTCACCAGCTCCCCTGGCACTGCCCCTTTCCCGGCAAGGGAGAAATTCCCTTTTTGTGGGAATTCCCTCTTCCCTGGCAAGACGTGCCTGCACCGGCATCGCACAGTCCCCTTTAACCTCTTGAAAACCTCATGTGGAGGTCAGCCTCCCAGAGCCTGCCCCGGGAGGATGGAGGGTTCCCGGGGATCCTCTTCCATCTCCGGGACAAAGCCGGCCTGGCCAGCGGGACCCTCTTCCCAAGGAAGCCACCCAGGGCTGTGCAGGGCCATGGGGGTGTCCCCGTGGGGTCCCTGCTCTCCACGCCGGCTGGCCCGCACTGAGCCGTGCCTGCACGCGCATGCCTTTGGCTTGTAAGGAAGATGAAGCCCCCCACTACAGGAAGAGGCTGGGAATTAACCTCAAAATTACGATTAGCCTGAATTGGAAGAAGAGCAGAGTGTAAAGCAGTTGTTTTTAATTTTCTCCATGCGTGTGCTCTCTCGGGGCATGGGGACTGGCACAGATAAAGGAATTTGAGGACGTCTTTCCAGCTACCAGTGCCTTTTTTTTTTTTCTTCTTTTTTTTTGAGACCAACCAATGGATGTCCAGAGGACCACCCAGTTAGAAAATGGAGCTCACAGACTTCTCCCAGTGCCTCCTCCTGCCCCGGCCTGTGACACCCCTGCCCAGCGGCAGGGGGGGTGGTTATTTCCGTCTCGCCTCCTTTGGACATTATCACTTTCCTACTGTTCTGGATGCCGAACAGCTGGCCGCCAGCAGCCCCGAGGCCGGAGAGTGTCAGCGTTGGGTCGCAGGCTTGGCTTTGCTCTGGGGCATTGTATCGATGGGGCTGCGATGCCCTGGGCCGGGGTCTTGTCCTGGCTCTGTGCATTGTCTGAAGGGCTACAGGGTGAAGGATCATGTCCCGGGCACGCTTTCGCCTCCACCCCCTGCTCCTCGGGGGAGGAAAAGCCCCCTCTTTCCTGGAAAGCAGCCCCTGTGCTTGCATTCCCTGCTCCCGGCTGCTTGTA